GCCCGCCCCTGCTCGGTCCCTGCCCCCACCCGGCCGCTCCTGGGCTCGCCGCACCGCTGGCCCAAGCTGGTGTCTTCCAACTCATTTTGGGGTGGGGTGGCGACGCCGCGCCAGAGGGGTGAGAACGCGCCCTGCTCCCGGCCAGGCCGTGCCGGGGACCCCGCCTCCCGCGGGATGCGTTGCGCCCCCCCTGCTGGCCCGACCCGGCTGCGTGAGCCACAGGCCCGGGCGAGGGTCCCTTGGCCGCCCCCGGCGACAGGTACTGACGCCCCCTGGCACGGCTGGACGCGCGGCTGCCTTCCGGTGGGGGAGTCGGTAACTCCGAGCCACTGACTTGCACCCTCAGAATCCACTTCACACACATGTCCACATGCTCAGGCACACGCTGTATAAAGAAACCACGGACGCCGGAGGTGCACCAGCAGCCTTCAGAAACCCTGCTCAGGTCAGTTTCTTCACCGAGAAAGACCCACATTTTAAATCTGAAATGAAGACCGATTGTTACTATCAGTAGAGACATATCACTGGGTGCTTTTCTTGCATAATTTTTCAAATCGGGGTGAGAGGAAAGGAAAAAAGAATTTTCAGTATTTAAAATGAAAGAAAAAGAAGAGCAACAGCACATTCCACGTGCGCCCTTTAAGGTGGGTGCGAATTCCAGAACAACTCCCTGACACCTGATTTTGGCCTTCTGTCACAGGAGCTCAATATCCTGGAAAGTATTTTTGGCAAAGGATGAACAACTATTTATCAAAGGATGAAGCATTTCTGTATGCTTTTTCCTCTTTAAAAGAATTACATGACCATAAATTAAAAACACACAAACCTTTTAGGATTTTGGTTCATTTTATTTACTTGTTAATGTTCTTACACTAGAAATTAGTATTAAGGGTTTTCTCAAAAGCAAATTTGCTACATACTAAGCAGTACATATGCAGGAAAATGAGTAATGGATTTTTTTTTAAATACTATTCACACAAACCGTTTTATAGAAGTAGGTTTCACGGGATGAGTTCACAGTTGTTAAAGTTTAAAGGAAAAAAACGAACTTTAATCCCAGCACTCTGAAAGGCTGAGGCAGAGGGATGGAGACTCCAAGCCCAATCTGGACAATTTAGAGAAACACTACCTCAAAATACAAGAAAGGCTGGGGGTGCAGCTTAGTGGAAAGGCCTTGTATTCAATCCACAACACAAAAACACCATATATATATATATATATATATATATATATATATATTTGTCTTTTTGAGACAAGTCTCCCTCTGCAATTCAGGTTGGCCTTGAGCTCTCTAGCACAGGCTGGTCTCAAACTCAACAAACCTCTTGCCTCAGCCTCCTGAGTGCTGGGATTAAGCACCAGCATGCCCAGCCCAGTGCAGAAAAAAAATTTTTTTGAGGGACTGAGAGTGCAGCTTATGGTAGAATGACTGCCTAGCATTGCAAGAGGCCCAAGTCCAAGTATGAGGGAAAAGTTTTTTTTTCAAACAAAATCAAAAGCCCAAGAAAACATTATCAAGGTCCTGCTGTCCAGCAATACTGATTGTGAAGCCTTCGTTAAACATTCTTCCAAGGGCCGGCAAGATAGCTCAACAGACTAAGAGCACGCTTAGGCAAGCACAAGGACTGGGGTTCCATCCCCGGTACCACGTGCCACACGGGCCTGCATGCCTATAATCCCAGCTGCTGGAGAGGCTGAAAACAGGAGGATGACTACTAGTCTGAACTGTATAGTGAGACACTACCAAAAAATAAAGTAAATAAATAAAAGTAAACATTCTTCAAAAAATTCACTCCATTTACTCCATACAAACATGCTAAAATCCAAGTATATATTGTATCTCTCTTTTTTTTTAAAGACAGGGTCTCACTGTATGATGCTAGCTGGCTTTGAACTCACTATGTAACCCAAACTGGCCTCAGATTCATTCCAATCCTCCCGCCTCAGCCTCCCCAGTACTGGGATGATGGGTACAGGCGTGTGCCACCATACCTGGCTTATATTCAGGCTCTTAACATGTTTCTGAAGAAACGCATTAAATGTCATTGATATCTAAGACAATAAAAGTATTCAGAGTTTATAATAGTACATTCCAGAAATTAGGATTTGTTATATTTGAAATCTCACTTCTTCACACAAATATTAAGAACTACAAAGTAAGCAACGGCAAAACAAGTGAGGGCTGGGCCTGTGGGTTAGTGGTAGAGTCCTTTCCTAGCCCAAAGGAGGCGCTGGGTTCCATCCCAGCATCACCCTGCAATCTCCCCACCCCCAAATGAATCAATGTAGATGAAAGTACTTTGTATACTGAAATGTGGGCTGGTCACTTTCTCACTGGACCACAGAGAATGCTGACTGATTAGTCCTGCCTATAAAAGAAATTGTTCAAGGCATTCAGCAAATCTTGGTAGTATGACTGTTGCCCATGCACAGCTGAACTAATTGCTTTAAGTAGAGGTAAATAATCAACCGAGGCCTTTGGCTGCCTTCCAAGAATTTATGGTCTGTATGGGGGAGGCATAAATGAGGTAAATATTTAAACTGAAATTGCAGTTCATTCAATTAATTCAGCAAATATGTCTTGAGCAATTATTATATGCCAGGCTCTGAAGGCACAGCAGTGAACAATACTGATAAGGTCCCTACCTCCATGTACCTTGTAATCTAATAGGTAATAGGCAAAGCAAGCAGATAAAGTCAGAGGGTGGCAAATGCTATGGAAGAAAAAAGCAGGTCGAAGGGATAGCAGCAGGGACTATTTTTAGATGAGCTGACCCAAGAAGGCTGCTCTGACGAGATGATATTTGAGCAGGGACTCAAGTGAGGGAATGGGCCACGACCATCTGAGGGATGATCTGTTAGACTGAGGAAGTAGCAAGTCCAAAGGCCCTGAGGCAGGGATGTGCTTTGTGGACAAAAAGATAAGGCAGTGCCATTGAGTGTTGAGTGTGTCATGGTATAGAATTGTAGTATCTTCTGGAAGCTTCCTCAGAAATAGCCCAAAGGAAAATGTATATTCCCGTATACACAAAGTACTCATCTTCCACAACAAACTGCAAAAGCTCTGCCTCAATGTAATCTACTACGACATCCAAAGGGACTACACTAATTCCAATAATCTATTTACTCAATTTTTTCATCCTGCTGTTTAGAACAAAAGAACACACAACTAATATATTTTCAAAACAATCTACATTAAATTGATGAGTCAAAGATCATAGCAATCACAACTCAGTTCTCTCTTCCACAAACTTGTGTTCTATTTGTTCGCAGCATTCTTGTTTGTGTGGGGGAAAATGTTGAATTGCTGGTTTCTTTTCTTTTCTTTTCTTTTCTACTGGAGATTGGGTCACCCTTGTATAGGTCAAGGTAGTTTTGAATTCACTACATAGCTCCAGCCTGGCCTTGAACTTGAGGTGATCCTCCTACCTCAGCCTCCCAAGTGCTGGGATTACAGGCACGCACCATCACATCTAGCTATGAATTGGTAGCCTTAACTTGCAAGTTTACTGAAACACCAAAGTTCAGTAGAATAAAATATCAGTAGAGAAATAGGAAAAAAATTTCCCAAGAATCACCAATTTGTATTTGACTTATTAACTTGAGTAAAGTAGAATTACACACACAAACTACCACATGATATTAGTATCAGTAATAAGTGTTATTGTAACAAAATCTTTGACAGTATGTGATTAAATCACTGTACTCTGGAATTAATAACAACCATGAATTATGGTAATTATATGTTCAATGTTTAGGATACAAAACATGTTCTAGGTTTTTTGGTTTTCCTTTTGGTTTTTCAGGTTTCAGTGTAGTCATTTGTTTTAATAAGTAACTGAGTTTGAAAACTGACATTCAGCCCTTAAGTAATCAACACATCCCATTTTGTAAAACTTTGACAGTTTGTTTTAGACAGGGTCTCACTCTAT